GGGCCCTGACTCTACTCAGGGGTTACGTAACCATCGCACAGAAGATACCTTATAAGAATAACAGCATAATAATATTCAATGGAGTCAACAACTTCAAACATGAGGCGACCAGCAGCTGCGTATTAAAGTACACGCGTGTAAAAATGAGAACTTGAAAATATTAATTCTAGGCACGTGAGTCCGCACTTTCTACTTTTATTTTCATTGATTGCGCGCGGTCAATATTTACTATTGAACATAGTGGTAATTACATATTTAAAAGCAAAATTTGCCTACTAATTGCATAAAAATTAATTTTAAAACGCTTTAATGATTAATTTTGACTGTCTGATTTTGAAATTAGTTATTTGGTTATGTTTATAAAATAATATTGTTATGACTAGATTTTCCGAACGCCGCGCATTCCTAAATTTACCACTCCAGGTTTTAAGAATTAAAATTAGAATCGAGCGCTAGTGCGCGTACTTCAACGATTGCGCCAGTTGATCTCGTCCTTTTACCCCGTTTGTTTGAACTGACACCACAAGTTTATCAGTATATTTCTGACACTTCGACATGCTTGTCTTTATCGATAGATGCACTGGTGAGACTTTATAATTCATTATCTCATATTATTTAAGTGTAGCTTGATATTTTGATTGCCACGTGATGGTGCTAAAACTAAGATCGCGCTCCAAATTCAATGTACGTGACGTATATTAAAATTGAGTCTGAAGGAGAACGCCATTTGGGTGCAGCAATTGGCAGCGAAGCTTTTAAGAACAAATATGTCTCAGATAAAGTCCATAAATGGTGTCAGGACACTAACACTCCAGATATCATACTTTTCCTGAGAGGTGAAGCAGCAAAGGGCACAGCCAGGCTTCAAGCATATGGAAGCCTAACCCTCGAAACTATCGCCCCCAGAAAAGGTACCATCACAACTCACACCACTATCAACAAACAATTCATGGTAGACCTCAACATACCACCCAAAGCAGAGAGAGACCTATCTATACCAACCATGATGCTTGAACGACGCTTCACGGTCACCACTCCTGGAGCTGACAACATTGAATATAGAGGCTCACTCCAAAACACCATCGACAACATCCCCAGTGAAACCATCACCTGCTACACAGACGGGTCACGCACAGACTCAGGTAGCGGGGCTGGTTATATTATCACCACAGACAACAACAACACTACACTAGATGAAAGATCATTCAAGCTTCCTGATTATTGCACCGTTTATCAAACTGAACTCACTGCCATCATCGAAGCTTGTAAATATCTATCAACTTACACAAACACACATATCATCATATGGTCAGACAGTCTCTCCTCTATTCAAGCTATATCCTCACCTTCAACGAGGAGTAGAACCACTAGAGACTGCTACGACACCCTCAATACACTCGGATCCACTAACACCTTAGAGATCAGATGGATAGCAGCACACATCGGATTGTGGGGTAATGAAAAAGCAGACGAGCTGGCCAAAAATGGCACAACCAGTGAATCCACTTTGAATTGCCCAATTCCACAATCTTACATCAAACGCCTGATCAACGACAAAGTCACAAAACTTAATCAAGAATCATGGATTACTAATGGTCCCAGACACACTAAACTGACACTTGGACATAAAAACATCAACATCATCAAAAATCTCAACACTACACTCAGCAACAACAGACAAAATTACAGAACTGCAGTGCACCTCATCACGGGACATTGTGGCCTCAACAAACACCTACACACCATTCACAAATCAGACACAAGTGCTTGTCCAAAATGCGGCGACGGAGAGGAGACTGTCTCACACTTTCTCGGACAGTGCCCGGCTATTGCCCAAATAAGAGGTCAATATTTCCGGGACTACTACCTCTCTGTCAATGACATATTCGACAACCAACACATCTCCACCATTGTCAACTTTACAAACCACACTAAACGCTTAGTGGTGCCGGAGGAGTTGGACCAGACAGGTGTAACATAGCGACTACTTTAACGCCGTCTTGTTTCGCCCCTCTCTTCCACACTCAACCACCACCTAACCGTTTATCTATAACACACCCCACAACACTTACCATCATCCGTGATTACACATCTTGATTCCGCTGGCATCCTCCCACAGGACTGCCATACCCCAGAGGTAGGCAAAGCATCCATATGCTATCCTCTCGTGGGCCAACCAGGCCCAGCCTCTCTTTAAAAAAAAAAAAAAAAAAAAAAAGGACATCAAGCTGTTGTCATCAATTGCTGTTGAGGAGCCCCAAGCTGCTTTGACTGCATATACTAAGGGAATTTGTCACCGGTGGACGTTCATTCAGAGGACCATCCCGGGTATAAGTCACTTGTTTCAACCATTGGATGATTGCATCAGAACAGATTTTATTCCAACAATCTTGGGTAAGAACATATCAGACTTGGACCGCTCCATATTTGCATTGCCAGTCAGACATGGTGGCCTAGGTATCTCCAACCCAGTTGAAAACTGCAATAGAGAATTCACAGCCTCAGTCACCATCACAAAAGACCTCACAGACCTGATTATCAACCAGCAAAACACCCTTGAACATTACAACATGTCAATTCAAAATGACACTATAAAAAGTCTCAAGGCAATCAAGGAGAAACACTTATTTACAGTTAGCAAATCAATAGAGGACAGTGTAAGAGATCCCAACCTAAAGAGATCTCTCCAGTTCATCAAAGAGAAAGGTTCAGGATGTTGGCTTACTGCACTTCCATTGAAGAGATTTGGCTACTCCCTGAACAAGATTGAGTTCCGTGATGCTCTGTACTTGCGTTATGGTTGGGAGATCCCTAACACCCCATTTCACTGTGCTTGTGGAGAGAGAAATAATGTGAATCACACACTTATATGCAAGAAAGGTGGCTATGTTTCTATGAGACACAACAACATCCGCGATCTAAATGCAGAGCTGCAGCGTGAAGTATGCAGAGATGTAGTGACTGAGCCAGCATTGATACCCCTTGATAATGAAGAAATTGTTGGTACCAATGCTGATAGAGCTGCACCTGATGTATCCTCACGAGGTCTCTGGAGCACATTTGAACGAACATTCTTTGATGTCTGTGTTACCCACCCCAACTCACCCACATATGACAAAAAAGATATGGAACAGATCTATAAAGCTCATTTTTTATCTAGACACTTATTTTACTTCGGTGTATTCCAACAGCCACAATGTTACACAAGTGCAACCAGCCAATTACAGGAAGCCGAAGGATCTTTTTGGCCAGTGACGGTTAAGGTAGTGTGTACCATACTTTCTTCGTCCGAGACTTTGCTGCAATGTGCAGCTCCTCATTTAACCCTCACACCCGATTTCTCGAGTATTCGGCTGAGTAGACCGGGGGGCTGCATAGACCACTCATGATCCTTAGCTGAACGTCGACGACGCTCACCCCACGACCAGGCAGTCAGTGGGTTGCGAACTCGCAACCTAACGATTGTAAGACAGGCGTTCTAACCAACTGCGCTACCTGGCCGTATGAAATGAGGAAAATGAAAAAGTACAACAACAGAATCATCCAGGTGGAAAAAGGCACCTTTACCCCACTTATATACTCAACAAGTGGCGGATGGGGTCCACAAGCCACAAGATACCACAAGAGACTCGCTGAAAAACTATCCCAGAAGAGAGGAGAAGACTATGCGGCTATTATGTGTTACATGCGCACCAGGATTAGATTCTCAATCCTCAGGAGCACCCTGATAGCGGTCAGGGGTGAGAGAGGGAGACGGCAATCGTATACATTGCCAGTCAGTGTAACTTCGTTTAACTTGATACCTGCCACCATGGACTATGAATGTTTCTAGACACTATCCTTTTGATATTGAGATATTGGTATCTCAGATCACGTATACATCGTTCCTTTTTTTATGACACAATAATTTATATGTACACGTCAATTTCCCTCACTTTCTACACATATTGCAATTTGTTCACGATCAAAATCTAAACTGTAACATGAAAACAAAAACATGATTGACTTGCTTGAGGTCGCGAGTTTCAACTCTAATCGCTATTCAAAAGTTTGCATCAATTCAAATATATTTTCTTCAGGCGAGGACCACTTTAGCGACGCTTACGCTTACGAGGAACTCTTTGGAGGAGCTATCGTGAAGGCGGCATGTAAGGTGAGTTACCACTGTTACCATAGTTACCACTGTTATCATAGTTACCTTAATTACCATAATTAGGTCATAGTTACTTAACTGTGCGATTCTTAATGCACCTACATTGCTTAGATATTTTAGGTAGAACTCTATTTGTTTTGGGATATTAATGAAAATATGAAGATCTCTGAATAGAGATTATAATTAATTTATTGATATAACTACTTGCCTAGCTGGGTAGCAACTATCGAATTATAACTTTACTTTACTTTATTTTGTCCTGCTTAGAAGATAATGTTAATTAAGATTTGAACCTTTATCAAGATCATTTTGGGATTTATTGTGTAATTACAGTGTGCTGGTAAGCGCTCTGAATACATAACCTCTTAGACTTTGTAGGTGAATTACTCCTAAAAACCTTATCTTGTGTAATGTTTTAATGTTAAATAAACTTAACCAACTTTTGTCTCCAGTGGGGCCACTACAGTAACAATGAAGATGTAGTATTAGCCGGATCGAACCCCAGGTCAGTGGTGTAAACTTACTAATGATATCATAGTATGTAGTAACCATAGTAACCATAGTAACCACAATAACTACAGTAACCATAGTAACTAGTAACTATAGTAATATAACTATAGTTTGTAGTAACTACAGTAACCATAGTAACTATAGTTTGTGGTTACATACGATTCAAAAAAGGGGAGGGGGGGTCATGAGTATTGAAAAAAACATGTCTTAATTGTGTTCAGCTGAGGAGGGATTTATAGTAATATAAAGAGTTTACAATTATATCTCGTACGTGACCTCTGTTCTCGTACGTGACCTCTGTTCTCGTACGTGACCTCTGTACGTGACCTCTGTTCCTGTACGTGACCTCTGTTCTCGTACGTGACCTCTGTTCTCGTACGTGACCTCTGTTCTCGTACGTGACCTCTGTTCTCGCACGTGACCTCTGTTCTCGTACGTGACCTCTGTTCTCGTACGTGACCTCTGTTCTCGTACGTGACCTCTGTTCTCGTACGTGACCTCTGTTCTCGTACGTGACCTCTGTTCTCGTACGTGACCTCTGTACGTGACCTCTGTTCTCGAATCTCGGGCGAATAAGGTTTATATTTTTTAACTTTGTCGGAGCTCGCATACTGCATTTATTTATTTTATTTTTTCAATGGTCATTGTCCAGCTATAAGGTTAGACAATACATACTGCATTTAGTTAAATTCTACATTCCTTGGTTACATCGCATTCCAGACATATTACACTCTAATTTCTCATTACACTCGAAGAGTCTATAATTACATTACACTCGAAGAGTCTATAATTACATTACACTAGATAATTAAATAAAACTAGATAATTAAATAACACTAATTACAGTGCCGAGGACGGTGAGGAGGCTGGTACTGAAACTTCAGAGAGGAAGATCGACCTCGTTCACCAGGTAACACCTTTATCACCTTGTAACACCCTTATCACCTTGTAACACCTTTATCATCATGTTACACCTTTATCATCATGTTACACACTTGTCACCATGTAACACCTTTATCATCATGTTACACCTTTGTCATCATGCTACACACTTTTTACACCTTTGTCACCATGATACACCTTTGTCACCATATCATGTTACACCCTTCTCACCATGATACACCTTTATTACTATGTTACACCCTTGTCACCAGTTATATTATTTATATAATCCAGTGAATGTTACTATATTATTCATATCCATCATCTAACGATACAAAGTGTTCAATCTTACTTAAAGAATTCTAATTGTATCAGAAAGATAAGTTTAAATAATTGCAGTTCAAATTGGTAGAGTGTAACTACATGAACAAGAAAGGTTTCAAGGAATGGCTGACGGATGAGGACAACATGACCAGATGGAAGAAATTCTTCGTGGACGGCCTCCAGGAAAAAGACTACGTAAGTTTTTGGTTTTTTCAAATAACACCTGAAATATGAGAGCTACTAAGATTACCTACTATAGCTACTACTACTACTATGTCAGAGCTAAGTCCGATCTACGCCAGAAAACCCCCTCCATATATCCCTGTCCCGCATCAGGGTTCGCAGTTCCTCTTTAGAGTTTGTCCCAACTTCCTTCAGTAACATAGACAAGTAGCTTTGTCTTGGTCGGCCTTGCTGTGCTCTACCGTGCGTAGGTTCCCATAAGACTAAATCACTGGCAAGTAGCTCAGGATGTCGGATGCAGTGTCCCGCCATTTTTAATCTCCTGCTTCGTAACTTGTAGCGAAGCTACTAGATATCAGGTTATGAGGTACCCAGTCAGGCCTCACCACCATTGAAAATGTTATAATTCAATGAGAAACTTATCAACTTTCTGATTGATTTGTCATGTTACGTGATCTGATGACCGCTCAATCAGTTTTGCTAAGGAGATAAACCTGATTTGATTTAAAACTTTTACAAAATAGCAAATATTCAAATGTACTGCAAATCAAACAAACATATAAATTGGGCCGAAATGTATAAATTTGCTAAAAAGCGTAGGTCAGTGAAACAAGTACAAAGGACAACTTTCAGAACACGAGTTTTATGACCGCCCAAAGTCTCAATAACATCACCTCCATACACAATACAATTATGAAATATGAAAAGTATGGGGGGCTGACCATATTAAAGCGATGAAGATGCTTTAGCAGGGATATTAAAACTCTTCCTTTGTTTCAGAAACTGAGCGATGAAGATGCTTTAGCTAAGGTCGAGGGAGGAGCAATGAAGGAATGGAAGAAAGAACTCACCAACTTCGCCAAATTTATCCTACCCCAGTGGAAGAACGTGATGGTTTACCATGTAAGTATTTAATTATTAATTAAATAGTAAAAGTCCCCTATTAATTAAAATTGCTAATTCATGACAACACTGACTTACTAGTTACCATGACAACACTGACTTACTAGTTACCGTGCCAACACTGACTTACTAGTTACCATGCCAACACTGACTTACTAGTTACCATGACAACACTGACTTACTAGTTACCATGCCAACACAGACTTACTAGTTACCATGCCAACACTGACTTACTAGTTACCAAGCCAACACTGACTTACTAGTTACCAAGCCAACACTGACTTACTAGTTACCAAGCCAACACTGACTTACTAGTTACCATGACAACACTGACTTACTAGTTACCATGCCAACACAGACTTACTAGTTACCATGCCAACACTGACTTACTAGTTACCATGCCAACACTGACTTACTAGTTACCATGCCAACACTGACTTACTAGTTACCATGCCAACACAGACTTACTAGTTACCATGCCAACACAGACTTACTAGTTACCATGCCAACACTGACTTACTAGTTACCAAGCCAACACTGACTTACTAGTTACCAAGCCAACACTGACTTACTAGTTACCATGCCAACACTGACTTACTAGTTACCAAGCCAACACTGACTTACTAGTTACCATGCCAACACAGACTTACTAGTTACCATGCCAACACTGACTTACTAGTTACCATGCCAACACTGACTTACTACCTTACAAGACATATTTATAACGTACGAAATGTGGCGGTTTTCCGAAAATTTCGCCATATTTTCGGACCGCCAAAATTTCGGTCGTCGTAATAGAATCCGTCGCATTATCTTTTAGCTTATTTCAATGACTGTGCCTTCACTGCTTTATTTTGTTTCTAAAAAGTAATATCAAGTAAAATAAATAAATAAATTCTGGCATCTTGGGACAAATTATCACCACACCAATGACGAATTGAATGTCAAGCAATACAGTTTAAATTTGCATTAAAATACATGTATGTGCTAACATGAAAGTCTTACAGTCTTAATACAGACTAAGTTTGAACATGATTTTACCGAATTTCAGAAATTTCCTTACTGCTTACTGTCACAAAAAATGATGAAAAATACCCTTATTTTCTGTGACGTCCGAAATTTGACGGTTTTTGTTCAATTTCGCCATATTTTCGGACCGCCAAAATTTCGGTCGTCGCAAATTAGGCCGCCATAAATATGTCTTGTAAGGTAGTTACCATGACAACACTGACTTACTAGTTACCATGCCAACACTCAACACAATCCATTTCCAGGATGTTAAGGAAGATCTTGAAGGTGCTAAAATATTTTACATCGGAGACGGAGAGGGAGATAATTTCTACTACATCAATAACTTGTACAGAACTGAAAAGTTCTAAACAAACTGCTAAGTTTTTAGGTTAGTTAAATTTATTATTTATATCATATTATATCATGTATTGATGCTTTTCATACAAACAAGTTTAACCAAATTCTGTATGTCATGTATCCTGGGTTTGGACAGGATATGCCCGCTTAAAATACTTCCATCGCGTTACATTACATAATTCTCGATAAATGTATTTAATTGTAGTTGCGAAAATAGTTTAAATATGTTATTATAGTACATGTAGGGGGATATGTTCGGTACAAATTGTAAGATACTGAAAATATGTTGAGAACTGCCTGCAACTATTTTTATTGCAGCACTCAAGAGTACATTTCTTAAATAATTCCCTATGTTCTGTCTCTTTCCTTCTGTGTCAAGGTGCTATCACTTATACATACCCCCCCCCCCCCCCTCATACCAAACTTTGATAGTTTGCAGCCCTAAAATTGCAAACAGTTAATATCTCTCATTTTCGTAAAATTGATATGATGCTTCCCCTTCCTTAAAACACTGATATCATGTGGTTAAGAAATAGTGGACTAAAAATAGCACTGACATAACTGAATATACATAAAGTTAGTGGCAACGTTTATCTGATAACATGGAAGACACATCGGAGAGTTCTAGAGAGCGCGCGCGAAATGTTTAATCATGTAGCGTCCAAAGTATCGTTCACATTTTACTCTTGGATTTTCTGCTTTTTCACAAGCCGCGCTAATACCGGATGCTTTCAATATTGATTGTCCATACGACAACACTTTGGCCTGTAATATCATGAATTGATAAATCTATAATTGAGACATTATTTGTAAGCTTTAAATAATTTAATTTAACGAAACTTCATTTCAGGGTCGCTGGGGTGTTCAACGTCTCAGTCGAGGATCTTTTTAATTTTTTAGAGATTTAATTCTTGCTTCAAGAATCTACATACTGTGTTTTACTTTTAAGATTGTGAATTAGTTCTTTGGGATCTTCACATAAGGGGAGGGGCTTTGGAGAAGCTGACGCCAGGGTAATTTATACACAATAGCCAATAATAAATAGCCAGTACACCATGCTTAAAGTGGTAATCGGGGAGCGGAGAGTGTCTGAAAATGGAAAAGGTCGGGAATGTCAAAGTTGGGTTAAAGTTATATTTTAATGATCAATTTCTTCTTAGAAGCTAACTATAAATCAGCTACATTCCAAGACTCTGTTTTAAAGTTGTGTACGCAGTGTTGTCATGGTAACTGTTTGTTGTTTGTTTGTTTTCAGAACCCGTCCCCAATCTCGTATCGGAAAATGACTAAACTCAGGTCTGAGTGTGAATACGGGTGGTACCTGCAAGAGTGTTCGCTGTCATGGTAACTAGTGACACACCCTTTAAATCACTAAATGCATCTTTATTGAATATTTCTCGAGCATGACAGAGTAAAGCAATAAACGATCATACAATGGAATCGTCCGAAAATTTGTCCCCCTAGCTGTAAAATAAGATGGGCATACACTGTTAAAACACACAATGAACTTGTCATACGTTGTATGACCCGCCGCGCACGAGTGCGCGGCTCCCCCTGTATCGTCGAAACTCTACAGGGTATAGTGAAGCGACCGTGGGGGTCACCACGTGATACAACAATGAACTACGTCCACAATTCGCAATAGGATAATACTTTTCGAGCGTGCTAAATCACTACAATCGATCTTCGAGATTGTTCAAAGACAGTTGAAACTAACTTCAATCGATGTATTTTCGGACGCTGATTCCGAATCACCCCCATGTGTTTTAACAACCTACCAGTACCAGGACGCGCGCCGAGTTGGACTCGTCAACGGTCCCGAACAGATATTTTACGAGTATCACCCGTTATATTATTATTAACCCCATACCATGTGCCATGACATAGGGTTAAAATGCCGAGATATGGGCGAAAAACTGTCTCACCGATCACGTGATATGACCGTATAAGGAAGTTAGCCTAACTTCTCGTCAGGGTTTCAGCTTTTGCTTTTGTTAAGGGTTGGGATCAGATTAGAGGGTTAGGGTTTCGAATAGTCGTTCAGGGCCAGCTAGAGAACGGGTTGAAGAAGTCACGTGGCAGTCGAGTGTAGCAGTAGAGTTGAAAGTGATTAATCATCATCCCTAAAATCACATAATTTGTTCAATTTTACGATTCTACCAATATGAAAGAAAAAAATGTGTGTACTATTTGTATCACGTGGTGACCCCCACGGTCGCTTCACTATAGTGGACCTATACTATACTATACTACCTGTATCGTCTTCGACGATACAGGGGGAGCCGCGCACTTCGTGCGCGGCGGGTCATACAACGTAGGGACTCCAGGCTATTATGTTCATAAATATAATAAAGATTCGGCGGAATGTCAGGCTGAGCGCCGCCCAGTAAATTGCCCTCAAGTCACCTAATTGAAATTTGATTAGTTAAGTTGCCAGCGCCTCACGTTGTATAGTGGGCCCGCAATGCACGAGTATCTTATTAAACGAAATAAAATGACGATGAGCAATGAGGGTCACGTCTTGCTCTAATATATAACCAAAGCCCTCTCGCTTGCAGTAGCGCTACACATAGCCATGTGCCTACGCGTACTGCGTGACGCGCTTGTTTCACAAGTAGATCCTTCGGCGGTCGCGCGCTACTGCAAGCGAGAGGGCTCTGGTTAGAGCAACAGTAGCGCGTCACGCAGTACGCGTAGACACATGGCTATGTGAAGGTCACGTCCACAACGTGAGACAAATATTACGTAATCACTTTTTGGACAATTTTTAGGATGATGATTAATCACTCTACACTCGACTGTCACGTAACTTTTTCAACCCTTTCTCTAGCTGGTCCTGTACAACTATTCGAAACCCTAACCCATTAATCTGATCCTTGTAGGTTTATAACCTACCATTATTACCTACATTACCTACATTATTGACGATGTCAATTCATTTCAGCTCGCTGTGAGAAACCTCATTGAGTGCGCGGTGCGGCACAGTAACGCATCGCGCTACAAAACCTACCAGTATGCAGTACCAGGACGCGCGCCAAGTTGGACTCGTCAAGGGCCTGTAATTTATGGAACAAATATTTTACGAGTATCACCTGTTAATCTGATCGTAACCCTAACCCAATCCTTAACAAAAGCATATGCTTAAAGTTAAAGTTACACCCTAACGAGAAATTAGACTAACTTCCTTATAGTTTTAGTTTTACGGTCATATCACGTGATCGAGACAGTTTTTCGCCAATATCTCGTCAGGGGAGCATTTTAACTCTATGTCATGCCCATGGGGGGTGATTCGGATTCAGCGTCCGAAAATACATCGATCGCGATTGAAGTTGGTTTCAATTTGCAATTGTCAGAGGCAATTGTCAGGGGCCCTTCTAAAACAATTTCGAAGATCGCGACTGTAGAGTGATTTAGCACGCTCACAATTTTTAACCCCCCTCCGTATAGTACGCGTAGTCAGTTTTACACATTGACATAGCTATCGTGTACAAATTACACTAGCGAAACCCATCCCCTCGGCTGCAGATTACGTAGTAATGTGAACGATCAACGACCGGACCCCTGCTTAAAGATCCTTGGCCTTTGCAGCTCGGCGTGGCCCAGTGATGCTGTCCATCTCGTGTGATCTTGTGTATACTTATAGTGCATCTACAATCTAATCTGTAATCGCGCTACAAGTAGATTTTCTCATGCTTACCTGGGGACCCCAGGTCAGGCTTTTATTGATTATATTTATATTCATAATAATAGAATAGAGATTAGGGCTAGGCGGAATGACAGGCTGAGCTTGAGCGCCGCCCAGTAAATCCAATAATGCTTCGTTAGATAGGCGTTATTTTTTATTAGCGGTTAGAGCTGCGAAGCACGAAGGTTGACACCGTCAATCGACAATCTTACTGGGCCGCGCTCAGCCTGTCATTCCGCCGGATCTCTATTCTATTATGTTTATGAACATATTAGCCTGAGTTGTAGCGCGATGCACTACTATACTGGGTCGCGCGCGCATCCAATAATGCTTATGCAGATCGGCTTGACGGATGTTACTCGTCTAAATTTCTTCGAAGTAGCGCGCGCCGCTTTCTTCTCGAAATGTTGGCCCGATGGCAAGTGCTACGAAGTAGCGCGCGCCGGGTCAGACCATTAACAATGGTCAAAGATCGGCGAGATGCGAAGGATTGACATCGTGAATCAAGTGTGTAGCAGATGCCAGGAAAATCTATGGAAAGTTGAACATCGAAGGAGGACGAGTGGCAAATGGACTGAGGATAAACATCAGAGATGAAACATGCTCATGAAGCTGCTTAGCTTTAGCAATTGTCACTATATAAATCGAGTACATTCCATTGGCATTATATTAGGAATATGAAGCAGAGTCGACTTCAAAATGGCTCCGAATCAGTCCAAGATGATCCACGCTGTGATCGAACCGGAAATGTACTAAACATGCTAAAGACAAAGTATATGCTATAAAATGTACTAATAATGTAATACAATATAAACATGCTAAAGTTTATTTCTTTCTCTTTCTTGTAAATGTAAGATAGCGACAAATTTTAAAAGGTTTGACCGTCTTGTCCTACACCGAGTGCTTGTTACTGTAAAATTGTCCGCTCCGTTGCCAGAATTAAACGTGCAAAGCGAGCGACCAATGAAATCCTCCCCCTTTCACAGGATTTAGCGTGATAATCACATGTGGCATGCAATCTGGCCAGGCCTGCAACTCTTTACCCAACATGCTGAGTAATGAACAACTGTGTCACGTGATGCCCATATAAGGAGAGAGTAATGAACAACTGTGTATGATATTACTGCTGCATAATTTAACGACCCTGCTCCAGTGATGAGATCAGAGAGCCCCGGCCACCATATTATTCCTTATAAGGCCAGATGGTGGACATCAATGAGCAGCGATTATTATGTGCTATAGTTGAACTCTCTCTTTCTGTATAGAGTCGTTTTCTGCACAGATCTGTTTGCTGTTATCATAGTAATACTAGTAACTAGTAACCACTATTAGTATGGAGTTCGCTGGTAAGTTTCGCTACTGTAAATGTCTTCCAGTGCTGCTAATATAATAGCTTGTAGCTATTATATTCGAATTGCACCCACATATTTATTTTGGCATTGCTACTTTGCTAGGCAAAGGAGAGGATGACTGGTCAATGATGAATGAACCTGATATCCTGCTGTTATGGTGACCCTGGGTTAAGTGTCCAGCGTTGCCATGGTAAAATTAGGTGCCCTGGATGTGCACGCTATATTAGTACAATATTATATAAGTGCACTTTTAATAAATATGCAATAAATGTGACTAACATCAAGGAAGTTACACTAAGATGTGTCAACCTGCACATTGCACACATCCGTTACCAACCTTCACTCGAGGCAGCCAGAGCCCACGCCTGACTGGTCCTTTTTATACACATAATATCACGTGGTGTGACGTCATGTCACGTGGTGTGACGTCATGTCACGTGTTGTGACGTCATGTCACGTGGTGTGACGTCATGTCACGTGTTGTGATGATCTAATAATTTGAGTGATATCGTTTTTGTCCGGTCTCTCCAAACTATGAACCTAGATGATAGTGGTTTAGATAGTTGCCACTTGCCATAGTGATAGTTACCATGGCTTTACAGAGTCTATATACGACTTTCCACGACTGAGCTAATCGAAGTTCGGTACAATGTACGACAATTTACTATAACACTATAACAATATAGCATACTGTGCGATAATCAGTATTTCTCTGTGGATCCACACTCAACTAAGTTTTATTTTGTCATTTGTACTTAGATTTTCAGCTTCAAGCTGTCTCTGCATCTGATATATAGTTCTAATGTACCGTCACGTGACTTTAAATATACCACGCCCCGGAGGTAACTGCTTACCAGGTAACCAGGTAACCAGGTAACCAGGTGACCAGGTAACCAGGTAACCAGGTAACCAGGTAACCAGGTAACCAGGTAACCAGGTAACCAGTCTCTGCATCTGATATATTATACCACGACCCGGAGGTAACTGCTTTTGTGAGTCACAAATTGTGACTGATATTTGTCATTATCCGAAACAGCCTTATATGCCTTGTATGACGTATGTATGTACTACGGCTTGTAGAATATCACGGGGCTTCTTCCACTAGCTTCTTGGACAGAATACCCCCTTTCTATTATAGTTTGCGCCTATATATTGTAGGTGACCCCTATTATAGCTATAGTCAAGGTGACTCCCCTATATTCTAGGTGACGACATTATGTTGGGAGACGAAGATACATTCTCTAATCCGGGTGAGATTTTTATTTTCTATTGAAATAGAATGTTTAGAAATTGCAAGGACTAATTGTTGGATTGGTTCCGTAGAGCCAAGAAATGAAACTATAAAAATGTACACATAATAGTAAACACTCTATGATTATAGTAATTATTAGTAATTATTATGTAATATTTTCTGATTCACAGTTATATTACCACGTGAAATGCTCAGTTCAAATCAGCAGAAAAACTGCGGTTTGAAAATAGCCCGGCTATATTTGTCTACATCTAATTAGCGCGACAGTTGCTGCTGTGTGCGCTGTTTCTTCGGTGCTGATAACTTCAAATTAGCTTTTAAATATGTACTAGTAGTGATATTTTAACGTTGTTACTATAGTAACTATAATAACTTAATAGTAACTAACCAGTAACATGTAAATATTTGGATCTTGCTATTTCAATGAGTATATAGTTAATAGTTTATAGTAGTAATAGTGGTAGTACACAGCGTGTGATCTTGCTAAGAAACACACTTTACTTTCTCATTACACTAGATAATACCATTAGGTAACGTGTTGTCATGGTAACATACCACTAGATATTACCATCAGTGGGTAAAGTGAGTCGGGTCCGGGGTCATATGTCTACATTAGCTCAATCAGCACTTAATAGGATGGAATTGCTTGCGGAGTGGTCAGTCAGCGGCTCTCTAATTACACTAATAATCCTAATTCTCCTTAATTTGGAAATACGAGACTGGCTATTGTCAGTAATCAGAATGTTTATGAATTAGTACATAGCTAGCTGCATTTGGTTTGGTTTACTTAGCTGCACAGGATTGTTCTTTAGTTTGGTTTGGTAGAGCAGCCTACTGTTATTTGGAGGACTGTACAATATAGCATACATTCAAACACATCTCTATAGTTTATATATTGTACTAAATAACATACATTCAAACACATCTCTATAGTTTATATATTGTACTAAATTTGTCTGGCACAGTTGATCGTTTCTAATTATAGTTGTATTTTATGTCAAGTTTAAATCCGACAAGCTTTTAGTTTTTAGTATGTGTATTGAGAGACTAGAAATGCCTACAGCTTTATGTGAGGCAGAGTGGGGGGTCGACCCCCCGGCTGAGTTTCAAAACCACAGCATATCAGGCGAGTTCTCGGTGTTATTCTGGGGGGGGGGGGGGGGGGGGGGGGGGGTTATATAGTCATTTTTAGCTTGTTACTACGGTTACAGCTAAAACCTGTTTGTAAAATTTGTTTACTCAGATATTGATATATTGGACCTGTGTCGAGAAGTCGCTATAGCAACCGGACAGTTCGCTCACGACTACACAGAGGATTCGCAACACTCCAAATCACTGTTTGGTAGGTTCCTATCAGGATTATTCAGAATATTGGTAGTTGGTAACTGGGAGAGGGCGATTATAGTAGATTTGTGCTAATCGTCTTCAACTGGTTACTGATATGTTTTGTTTTCAATGTAGTCGAATTAGATTAAACAAGTTACAAAAACAGGGGAAAAAATCCAAAAAAGCCCCAAAAAAAAACCCATTCCCAAAATAGAAATTAGGTAAAATGTTTTTTTTTGGGGTTGGACACCCCCCCCCTCGATATGGTTACTGAGTGTTTCTCTATTTCAGATTCCTCTAGCAAGCTGGAAGAAGTATTAGACGAGGTTCTTGTTAAGTTCAGCGGAAGCGAAAGTGGAAGTTGAATATCAGAACTCGTTACCATGACAACACGTTACCATGATACCACTGCCAGGATTTCAATAGTGACAGTATCATTGTAAAAAATTTAGCAACAAACTGACCTATCTATTTATATAGCGGGAATGTTTCAGGTTTTGAGTTATCTATTTTTCAGCGAACTTTATTTTGAATAGAAATTACTGTGATTTAATTAGTTCTTATTTTTACCGAGTCGGTTACGCTTTGCTTGTGCTAAATTCTCCAACGATTCATGGGATATTATATCAGTGATGTTAGAGTTGTTTATGTGTTATTTGAATTATTTGACTCAGTGAAAGCATTCCCAAGATTTAGTACAATTACTTTAAGGGCATGTTCACGTCTCGGTACTGAAGGGAATGTTACATCAGTATTCTGGGGGGAATTAATGGGGTTAACTAGATGAAATTTCCACACAGAAGCCAGTGCAAAATTGGTGACGGGTCACGAATTTGGTTGCAATCGTGAAGTGTGGACGCCGAATGGTACACTTCAAAGTGGCGTGTCAATGGCGCGCGCGCGGCGAGTGTAACAAGTAGTTTTAGGACTCCATGAAATTGTCGCCGCGCCATCCAGTTTTGTACCGCTACACGTTTGACTGTCAGCACCTATCTTTTCCTTCACAACCCTCATTACAATCCTTATTAGGGTTTATTATTATAAAAATATAGATACTGTATTTTTATAGTTCTAACTTCTAATTTCTGCCCAAGTAAGGGTGTTTTGAATAGAACAATAAAATAATGAAAAAATACTCTGATATCATGAAACTCATTTTCAGACATTTAACAAAACGAATTTCTGGGGTGGGGTAGTACTGTCCTACTACCACTTCCCCTAGTCATAAAATTAACAAAATAATGTTCATGCCCAGAAAATACTGGTTAATTACAATAAAAACTTGCAGCCACATAAATGTGGAGAAAAAAGTGGCACTGATGAAAAATCTTTTAATCGTAACATTCATTGTGATGTGATGGCAGTAAAGTGGGTAAAGTGGGTGCAGCAATATTAATGATAATTAAAATAAACTCACTAAATTAAACACACGTAACAAGGGGCCTTACAACTACTTTACAAATAGTACTAGTATAGTACTAGTAACAAGCTTTCCCATTTACCAGACACCACAAAGTAGAGAAACTAGTGTCACATTATTATAATATTTACAATGTTCTCATCTGAAGTTTTAGTCTGGTTTGAGGAGGATTTATCTTACATTATATTAATCAGACACTTAGATTCTTTGGTTAGCGTTACCCTGGTTACCCTGGTTACCCGTTACCCTGGTTACCTCGGTTAACGTTCTATTCTGGTAGTGACTAACTTCAAATGAGAGCACTATAGAACAAAGTCAAAAACATAGCAGTTCTCATAAACTGATTAACATTGTCTTGAGGTACAATACCTGGAATTACTAGAGGTAGAAGAGTCTATCTGACATAGCAGGAGCAGCAGGACGGTGGAGATGTTGTCATGGTAACTAAAGATAGAAGAGTCTATCTGACATGGCAGGAGCTGCAGGACGGTGGAGATGTTGCCCGTGCATATAAGCTATCTTGTGAGCGTATAGGCAGACTGAAGGTACCCTCACAGTACCCGGCCAGTTCCAGTACATGTGGGTTAACTTGTAACTGAGTTTCTGAATGTGGTCAGGTTTTAGAGTACTGGTGTTGTGTACTACTACGTAATGAGAGGGGGTGACTGTTCCTTTCCCCACATGCTGGGAGACCAGGTAGAAGTCGTAGAGAGTATCACTAGTAACTGTGTGATCTAGCACTGTACCTGGGGGAGCGTTCATTACCTTGCCTCTGTTACCTTCCCCCTCACTGTAGAACATTCTAGTTCTAATTCTCTTCTGCACCACAACCACTACTAGCTGGGGCTTGTAACCTCCCTCTAGATGAGAGAAGGCTGCTTCAAACTGTGCTACTTCGTACTGTTTAACCACAGAGAACTGTCCCTCCGACACCCCGTCCCTAAACACTATGATACGCTCCGGTAACTTAGCGTTCTTCTCCAGGTACTTTTGCAAAGCAGCTGTCATCATGTTCTGTAGAGAGGAGGAGAACTCCTGACCTCTCTCTTCCTCTCTAGAAGTAGAGAAGTACTGGGTAGTAATCTTGTTCATTGAGGCTACAAACCCAGTAAAGGAGGAGCCTGCCCGGCTAGTTGGGTCGTGGTAAGTGTCTATACCTACTATCATAGCATTACCCAGAGGGATATTACACGCCCACAACTCCCCTCCTAACTTAGCGTTTATCTGCAGCATTATCTTCTGAACTACATTCCTCAGCTTCTGAGGCTGGGACAGGGTCCTAGTCCTGATTACTTGAGAAGCTATAGCTATGTCAATGTAACACAGCTGCTTTATAGCGTTATAGCGGTCGTCTCTGTCAGAGGGAACTATGGTAACCACCAGCTGCACATCATTAGAGTGGTTACTAGTTATCGCTCTGTGGTGGAACAGTGTTAAAATGTTAAATACTGGTTACTTATTCTAGTACACTACAAATTGTAGTTACTAATATCAGTTACTTGTACTTGTTACTCATAATAGTTAACTAATATCAGTTACTTGTACTTGTTACTCATAATAGTTAACTAATATTAGTTACTTGTACTTGTTACTTATAATAGTTAACTAAGGTTAGTTACTTGTAACTAAGGTTAGTTACTAGTACTAGTAACTAACTATATTTACCTTATAAAGCTCTCCGTCCTATCGTCTCTGAGCGGCAGTACTACAGGGGCCGCTACTCTCATACCCAGTTTCCTTGCTCCTTCCTTCATTACCGTTACCAGATCACGCCCTTTGTTCTGATCCCGCTGCGTACATACTAGTAACCTGGGAGTTACTTAGGTTAGTAACCTGGGAGTTACTTAGGTTAGTAACCTGTGAGTTACTTAGGTTAGTAACCTGTGAGTTACTTAGGTTAGTAACCTTGGAGTTACTCAGATTAGTAACCTGGGAGTTACTCAGATTAGTAATATGGTAGTTACTTAGGTTAGTAACCTTGGAGTTACTCAGATTAGTAACCTGGGAGTTACTTAGGTTAATAACCTGGGAGTTACTCAGATTAGTAACCTAAATAAAAGATGGGATGAGGTGAGGAGATAAGAAAATAAAGTAAAGGTAAATACTAAATAGTAAAGGTAAATAGTAGATGAGGTAAATAGTAAAGGTAAATAGTAGATGAGGTAAATAGTAAAGGTAAATAGTAGATGTTTTTACCAGTTGTCGAGATTGACGGGTGTGAGTGGAGCGTTGACTGTGGTAGCTTGAGAGAAATCAGCTCTCTCTCCGACAGTATGTGTGTTTCCTCCTCCCCCGAATATAATCTGTTCAGACTCCAGCACTCTTCCTTGTACGTGTAATGTTTCATCGTCTGAAATAATACAGCAAATAGTCAACTTAGTAGTTCTCAGATATATCAGGCAAGTAATTCAGCACGTGTGTAATCATGGAGGACACTGGACAATTATCAGTAAACATTTTACTAATCGAATATAAATCCGATTACTTTCTTGTTACTTACCGATATGGAGGTTCTATCTGGTTACTATCTGGTTACTATCTTGGTTACTATCTGGTTACTAACCGATATGGAGGTTCCAGCGTCTGAGCTCTTCAGTGGCCTCAGGTGACTCCTTCACGTTACAAATGAAGCCTTTAATAGCCTTGATTCTGTCTCTGGGATCTAGTCTGGTGTGAGCTACAATATCTTTACGAACCATAAAGTCGTCCATAGTAGACTGGGATAAACCTGAGAAGGGAGGTGTGAGAGAGGGGACGGGTTGCTGGGGGGGGACGGGGAGGGGGGGGGGGGGGACGGGGTACATCTACGGGGGGGGGGGGGGGGGGGTTGGGGGTAGGGAGACGGGGTACATCTACGGGGGGGGGGACGGGGGGATGACAGGGGGTAGGGAGACGGGGTACATCTACGGGGGGGGGGGGGGGGGGTAGTTTACCTGTCATAGCACAAAGTTCAGGGATCAAATAAATCAGCCTCTCTTCTTGCTGGCTCTGTCCTCTTTTGGGCTTCATTCTGTGGACATCAGACATTAGATCAGCTTACAGTATATTCTTATATAATACTCAACAATAAAACATGGTGCGAATTGAAGAACTATGATATGAAATATAAAACTAAACAATAATAAGAAACAAGATATAACCTGTGAAGAAGGAGTGGCTGAGAGCAGTCCTTTATAACAATACTGTATTGATCTCGGTAATACTCTATGTACGATATTTTGTTTCCTCTTCTGTCCTCAAAACAGGACCGGGGAGTTTCATCCCACACGATATCGTCTACACGATACGTCTGGTTGTTATACCTCGTCATTATCACGTGACCTGATACGTTACCATGGTTACATTTATATCACGTGATCTGACACGTTACTGGGTTTTGTAGCAGAACTACGGTCAGGGGACAGGGTGTTACTGTGTTAGTTAGATGGAATAATGGATCCTAGCAACGCTACTAAATACTAGTGACCCTGCAAAATGCAATCTAAAAGCAGTAAAACTACTGACCCACTATTTCCTTGACAGCCCGTGACTGCAGATTATGAGGCTGAGTCTTGTGTATCTCCAGTAACATATCCATCACAGTGTCAGTTCTCAGCATCTTGTGGGACACGTTAGTTTGCAGCATGAACCCGCCGTCTAGTTGCGACACTGAGGTCACGTACCTGTGTGATTTAGTGTTGTAACCATGGCAACGTAATAGGAACATTGGTAACTCACTAGTGATCATTTAATAACTAATTACTAACTTAAGTTACTAAATAGAATTTTAATTAAGTTAATAATTACCCTGGCCAGAGCTCGAGCTTGTGTTTGGGAATGTGAACAGATCTGGCCGGATCGTAGAGGTTCCTCCCCATTCTGGTGTATCTGAGTTTAGAGAGAACAGTGCGGAATATAATGTTCAGTAGAGGTATACACTTCTCTATACTTATAGTCTTGGTTAACGTGTACCTCATGGTAATGTCCTCTCCTGTAACACAGTAATATAATAGTAGTACTAATAGTGCGTATTATAGGTGTATTGTTGTAAAGTTGTATTTTGAGACACTCTAATTATTCAGGTTCTATGAAGACATCATACAATATAGTAATGTGAATTCTGACCAGTGTTTTCTTTGAGACTCGTGAAGTAGCCTTGAGAGGGTAGTTGAGCAGAGGAGTAGAGAATAGCACCGTCAAATCTCCAGGCTCTGTTATCAGCTAGTCTCGGCTCTAGAAGCTTGTGCCTAGGGGTATAATTATAAACACATCCCGGATAATGCTAAGGGACGGGTAGAAAATAAGGGGCGGCGTTATTTTGATAAATCCCGCTGTTTTTCCCGGTTAATAAATAATTCCTGCACAGTTTCAATAAATATAATGGGGTAAAAAGGGGGGTAACCCGTAACACTGGTTACCTGGTTACCAGGTTACCTGGTTACCTAGTTAAGGAGAGGTAACACTGACCTGAGGAACTTGCTGTCTACAGGAGGGTCGTATGTAATGTGGTATTGGAAGACGTCTGTGTCAGTGAACTTCACTTTTATAAAGTTGGTGATGATTGGAATGCTGACTCCGTCCTCCGCGTAACCCGGTCTACTGGGCAACTCAGTATCGTCACTCACTGTCAACTGCAGAGTTAACTTTGTTACAATATTTTATATTTGTTACCATGGTTACCAGTATAACGCTAATTATGGGAGTTACAGAATTTTAACACTACTTATATTAAATCACACTTTGACTGCCTGGGAAAGAAGCATTAGTTACTTATACTACAAGTTACTACAAGTTCCTTCAAGTTACTACAAGTTACTACACAATATGAGAATTGAGGCAGCTGTACTGTTGTTACTGTTACATTGTTCAGTGAATGGAATGATTGAAAGTATATATATTTAAAGTATTTCAAGATACAAATGTGTTGGAGTGTTGGGCCAGTACAATTTGTGGCCACTTTCTTCTTAAACGAATATTTCCAGTGGTTCGCTGCTATTTTGCACATGCTGACGAAAACAGCAGAAGACACTAGACTGTACCCCCCTCTACCTACTCACTAGAATGTAGCTCATGTTATTGTTGTAGGGTCATTTTAGCGTAGTATTTTAGGGCATATATTAGTGTACGACATTTAGTACAGCAGGGTAGTGCAGAGAGTTCATTTTAACATCGCTGTTTTAATTATCAGAGGGTGCATTTTAACACCTCTGTTTTGGTTACAAGGAGGATAGTTTGGGATTTGTTTAGGGATTGCTAAAACGAGTGGGAGATTGTTTATACTATCTGGGGATATTTAAGAGTGGGCCTGTTGGATGGCAAGTTGGTTTGAGTACAACGGAAGTTGCAGTTAAAGTTTACAGTTAAATAACTAGGATATTCGAATTATTGACATAGTATTTGAGGAACACTGAGATATTGTAATTACAATTCTTAACGGTTTATTCAATTTGAAGTACTTTCCCTTGTCGCCTTCCTGAACCAAATTGTAAGGAAAAGAGCCTTTTATCATTATCACCCACCTTGTTAAGAGTAGTTGTTATCTCTGCAGTCCCACCAGTACTCACTAGAAGAGGGGGTCCCATCGCCGCCCCGCCCTTAGCAGCAGTCCCACCAGGTATAGAGCACTTGTTGGGTTGTCTAATGAAGTGTCCTGGAGGTCCGTTCATTGCTAAACTACGAGACATTGCAGCTCTACCTACTCCTGCTCCTCTGGGATGTAACGCAACCTTTACTTAATTTATCAAATATAACACTTTAACTCGAGAAAAGAAGAATCGAAATTATACAGGAAATTTCATTAGCGAACCCCACACATATTTAAAGTTAAAACATAATTGTTGTATGAACAGTACCTTCCAAAGCCAGAAGGCATTGGTGGTAGCTTCAGCTCGTTCTCCAGTAGTTTAGCAGCCAACCCACCCCGTCCAATCATGTTTCACTTAGAGTCCGCCCTTCTTAGTCTTATTAGCTAAACTAATGTAAACGTTAAGGGTCTTATTAGCTAAACTAATGTAAACGTTAAGGGTCTTATTAGCTAAACTAATGTAAACGTTAAGGGTCTTATTAGCTAAACTAATGTAAACGTTAAGGGTCTTCTTAGCTAAACTAATGTAAACGTTAAGGGTCTTATTAGCTAAACTAATGTAAACGTTAAGGGTCTTATTAGCTAAACTAATGTAAACGTTTTAAGGGTCTTATTAGCTAAACTAATGTAAACGTTAAGGGTCTTATTAGCTAAACTAATATAAACGTTAAGG